CCATCGGATGCAAATAGGTTTACAAGATCAAAACAAATTCAGATTGGTCTATTGAGCGCTACAAAGCTCGTCTTGTTGCTAAGGGGTACTCACAGGAGTATGGCATTGACTATGAAGAGACATTTGCACCGGTTGCTCGTCTTACTACTGTACGTTGTTTACTTGCAGTTGTGCAGTTCGTCGATGGTCTCTTTTATAGTTAGATGTTAAAAATGCCTTCTTGCACGGTGCATTATCTGAGGAGGTTTACATGACTCCTCCTCTTGGGTTCTTGTCCTCTGGGAAGGTTTGTCGTCTGCGCCGAGCTTTGTATGGCTTGAAACAAGCGCCTCGTTCCTGGTACGCCACGTTCAGTTCTGCATTGTTTCAGTTTGATTTCACTACGAGTGATCACGATTCTGCCCTATTTCTTCGGCGCTCTTCATCTGGGATCATTGTTTTGTTGCTCTATGTTGATGATATGATCATCACGGGGGATGATGTTTCGGGTACTTCCGACATACAGGATTATCTTCGAAAGCATTTTGAGATGAAGAGTTTGGGCCGTCTTCGCTATTTTTTAGGTCTTGAGATTTATGATTCCTCTGATGGTTTCTATTTGTCTCAAGCCAAGTATGCCTCTGATCTTCTTGCTTCTTGCTCGGGCCTCACTGATTGTCAGACAGCTTCCACACCTCCTGATTATGATATTCGTCTTACTCCATTGGATGGTTCTATTCTTGAGGATCCTACGTTATATCGCCAGCTCATTGGGAGATGATATATTTGACTGTCACTCAGCCTGATATAGCTCATGATGTTCATATTGTGAGTCAGTTTATGGCTGCTCTGAGAACCACGCATCATTCTGATGTGTTGCACATCCTTCGCTATGTGAAGGGCACTTTATTGCATGGTTTACATTTCTCGGCTGGTTCTTCCTTGTCCCTTAGCGGCTACTCTGATGCAGATTGGGCTGGAGATCCTACTGATCGTCGCTCCACTACCGGATATTGCTTCTTCTTAGGTGATTCACTTGTCTCTTGGCGCAGTAAGAAGCAAACCTTGGTTTCCCGTTCGAGTGTCGAGTCTGAGTATCGTGCTCTTGCTGATTCCACCGCAGAGCTATTATGGTTGTGTCGATTACTTGCTGATCTTGGTGCCCCTCAGTCATCATCTACTGCTCTTCATTATGAGCCAGAGCGCTGTCAATATGTCTCATAATGATACATTTCATGAGTGTACCAAACATATTGAGATTGATTGTCAACATGTTACTCATAGGACTGTACGACTTGTTTCTGTCTCCTCTTCGGATCAGATAGCGGATGTCTTCACGAAGTCTCTTCTTCCTGGTCGCTTTTGTTTACTTCTTACTTCTTAGCAAACTCAAGTTGATATCTACTATATACCACCTTGAGTTTTAAGGGGGGGTGTTAGAATATATTTTGTATATATCTTGTAGGATTAGGTTTAGGCTCATGTTCCTATATATATGTGTACATGTCTTGTGAATAAGATAACAACATATTTTTCCCAATTTTTTACACTTAGCAAAAGAGATAGTGAAATAGTGAGGAAATAATAATTGGTGGATAGATAACTAATTTATGTAGAGTTTGACTCTATGTTTGATACAGTCTATCAAATATTCAGATAATGACTTAAATTTACATGACTATAAAATTAAGATTCAACCCTATATAATAATTAATTAAGAATCTAATACTTTCGGGTACATAATCCTATTGAAAATTGATTGGGTTAAGTACGTTGGAACTAGATAGAAGTGAAAAGATTAACAAGTTGTAATTTTTGTATTGTTAAGGACTTAAAGTCGCAAGATCTCTTTCTATTTCATTTTCTTATTTGAATAAATGTATCGGTTAACATGCATAACGTAATCGTGCATTTTGAATATTTTTTTTATCAATCACTACAATTTTATTTTAATAAAAATAAGGATCATTAATTGACAAATTTTATTTTAAACAATGCGAAATTTATTTAGATTGTTAATCAATGTAAGATAAAAGTAAAACTATTACACATATGATATAAGAAAATAAAATATTAATTGATAAATGATTGACAAATATATATTAGTAAGTGAATTTATTGATATAATATAGTAATTATTATGATATATTCTTAGTTTTAATTTTTATTTGTTGAGAGTGTAAAGAAAAAAAAATCATGAAATGCGTAATATTCATTTAATTTTTTTTATCCAATAATAATATTTTATATAAATTGATCATTATTGGACGAAATTAAAATGAAATATTCCCCATCCAATGGACCTAAATGGCACGATCCATGATTTATCGACAAATACGAGTGAATTTCTGAGTAAGACAATATTTTTTGGGAAAATAACATGGAAATTATAGATATGAGAATAAGTTAATTAGTGGCCAACAGGAAATAACGTGTTATATCCCATGACTCATCTCCCAATCCCATTGCCAAACCTAACACGAATGCGAGCATTGTTTTTGGACAGTTTTGCTATGAAGTAATCGGATGACTCGACTGAGAGTCACCCACAACTATTCACAAATAATGTATTGACGTGTGTGTCCTATAATAAGTACACTTTGGGCATGTGTCAATATATTAAATGATCGATGACTCCATAAAAAAACCATTCGATGACTCTATAGAATTTTTGTATTTTTGGATTCATTGTTAATTTGATTTTTCTTTTGGATTTATTAATAGTTTAGCGATGGATCCATTAATAATTTAATTATACATTAAACGCCGAGGCTATTCCCAACACGAATTGAGAAACCCGTATTCGGATGTAAACTTGACACGCATTTTCTGTAGATAGTATAATATATATATCTATATATATTGAAAAAGGATGGTCAATAAATTATTTGTGGAAAGTTTATAAAATAAACTGGTCAAAAATCATTTGACTTCCCTCTTTTAGAAACCAATTTAAAAAACAGAAATCCATTTAGTCTTTTTTTTTTTTTACTTTTAA